ATTATGTGAAGCTGGAAACATTAGAATACTGTGCAAAATTACATTTATTTCTGTAATTTAACTAGACCGAGAGACCATTTAAAGGCCCAGGAACCTTTACAGGTGTTTCTATTTGCAATTTTAAATTTAGCTGATTGGGGTCTTGTTAAATATCACACAGTGACCTTTTAATAGTCTAGATTAGTGTAATGTTCCTGTTAGTAGTTCCTCCTGTTAACTGCTTATTTATACAAATTATTCAGGTTTATAAAAAACATTTGGACTTACATTTTATTATGTTCCAGTCATTAGTCATTTATATTTCACTATTGTAGTCATTTATAGTAAATTAAGTAAGCTCAATTAAGAGGGGAACCCATTTTTCTGGCATTCTTTAATGAAAAAAGTAACTAAGTAGTTATTTTTCTTGGTAATTAGTTACTTTTATAATCTCAAAACTCAGTTAGTAACTGAGTAACTTTTTTGACAAAGTAATCAGTAACTATAACTAATTACTTTTTTTAAGTAACGTTCCCAACACAGTTGGTTTCTACAAACACTGTAACTTCTGTTAGAAAGGTACGATCTAAACCAGTCTAGAACCGTTCCAGAGATCCCCACCAAGTCACCAAGTCTGTTAAGTAAGGTGCTGTGATCAACAGGGTCAGAAGCTGCAGAAAGATCTAACAATACTAACACTGAGTTCCCTGTTGTCTGCAGCCATCATGATTTAGAAAGGCAGTGGAGGAGGACTTGAAAGTATTTTTTGAAATCAATATAGGTAGTACTGCAGAAATAACCACAGTATGGGAGGCCTCAAAGGCATACATCAGAGGAAAATTTATAGCACATGCAGCTAGAAAGAAAAAAGAGAGTATTAACAAGATTAAGGAATTAGAGGAGGAAATAAAAAGAAAAGAACTAGAACTGTCAGAAGGCATTTCTGATAGTAAACTTCAGGAATTATGTAAACTTAAATACTCCCTACACAGCATATATAACAAGAAAGCAGAATATGCTTTGTTTAGGCTAAAAACAAGTTATTATGAAGGAAGGGAGAAAATGGGGAAATTGTTGACTAGACAACTAAAAGAAAAAAATAATAGTAATGCCATCCCAGTTATAAAACAGGGGGATGAAGAAATTTACACAGCTAAAGGCATAAATAATATCTTCCAGCAATATTACGAAAAATTGTACACATCTTCAATCTCGGTGGATAAGCCAAAAGAGAATATAGAACGGTTCCTTCTGAATGTAGGTCTGCCCAGGCTTAAAAGTCATGAAACAGAGGGACTAGATTTGCCTATAACTGAGGCCCAAATTAGGAAGGTGATTGCCTCCATGAAAAATGGAAAGTCACCAGGTTATGACGGACTTCCTGTGGAGTACTATAAGACCTTTGCAGATATTGTTGCACCAATACTCCGTGAGGTATACCAGGAAATGTTTGTTAAGGGCTGTGTAGCACCAGCTTTTAACAGAGCGGTGATATCACTAATCCCCAAACCAGGTAAAGATCCAACTGACCCTTCAAGTTATAGACCCATTAGTTTGCTCAACCTTGACTGCAAAATTCTTACAAAGATACTGGCGACACATTTACAACAAGTATTACCAAATATCATACATCCTAATCAAGTTGGGTTTATGAAAAATAGAACATCGACAGACAATGTTAGACTCCTACTACATCTGATGTGGCTCAGTCAATCCCGAGATGTTCCTATTGCTGCTCTATCTTTGGATGCTGAAAAGGCGTTTGATAGGGTGGAGTGGCAATTTTTGCTCTCCACTCTTGGTCATTTTGGTTTCACTGCTGATTTTATAAAATGGATTACAATGTTATATAAGGAACCTAAGGCTGCGGTGATGACAAATGGGATAGTTTCCCCTTTCTTCAACCTGACTAGAGGGACTAGACAGGGATGCTCTCTGAGCCCCTTATTATTCATTATTTTCTTGGAGGTCCTAGCAGTGTCTATCAGAACGCACCAGGGAATAAAAGGAATAAGGGTAGGGGGCAATGAATATAAGTTACTGCTGTATGCGGACAACATTTTGGCAGTGGTATCGGAGCCCTTAAAGTCGCTACCACATTTAATGGATACTATACAATCTTTTTCTAAACTTTCTGGGTACTCCATTAATTGGAATAAATCAGAGGCAATGCCCCTTTCTAAGCTATGCATTTCATCCATGGTAGAAACATTTAATTTTAAATGGACGCGTAGGGGAATGAAATATCTCGGTATTAACCTCTCTGAGGATATAGATGAAATAATAGCATTGAATTTCAACCCCCTGCTTCAAAGGCTAAAAACAAATCTTGATAAATGGTCAAAACTAAAATTGAGTCTGATGGGAAAAATTAATACTATAAAGATGATTGTTGCCCCACAAATTACATATGTTATAATGATGTTGCCAATTAAGATTCCACCTGCCATCTTTAGACAACTAGATGATGTAATTAAAAATTTTTTATGGAATGGAAAAAAACCAAGACTGAAATTAAGGAAATTATGTGCACATAGGGAGAAAGGAGGGCTGGGTTTGCCAGACCTTAGATTGTATTACCTAGCATTTGAGATGACAAAAATAGCAAGGTATTGGCAAACAATAACAGATAAACCAGGGTGGATGGAGGTGGAGGAAAAGATATGTTTACCTTTTCAACCTTCAGTGGTACTAGCACAAAGGTCTAACATTACTAATCCAGTACTTTTACATTCAAAGGATGTATGGAACAAAATTCATAGACTGTTAAACCTCAAACATACTCAGCAGAAATATTCCCCATTATGGTATAATCCCAAGGTCTGCATAGGGAAGAAACCTGTTTACTGGAAAGAGTGGCAAGTGAAAGGATTAAATACTATTGGAGATCTGTTTAAGGACGGGGCGTTTTTGTCATATGCTGAACTAATGCAAGAGTTTAACTTAGAGGGCAGGGGTCACTTTTGGAAGTTCTTGCAAATGAGAAGTTGTATTACCTCGCAGCCATATAATATTGAAGACAACACAGTAACTGAGTATATGAAACTTCCAAATAGTAAACAAAAAGCCTCGCAGTTCTATAGAATCATTAACTCTCTCCTCAGTGATGATTCCAACCAGTTAAAAATGGTCTGGCAGAAAGACCTTGGCATAATGTTCGATGATGATATATGGAAAACAATTGTTGTTAACTGTGGTAAACACGTAAGAGAGGTGAGGAGTAAATTCACGCAATATAATGTGCTAAACAGATACTATTATACACCATCTAGACTGTTTAGAATGAAGCTAGTGGATGATGATTTGTGTTGGAAATGCAAAACGAGTATTGGGACGTTCATGCATTGTATTTGGGAATGTGCTCCTATCAGATGTTTTTGGACCTGTATTGTCAAGATCCTAAGTAATTGGTGTGGAACAGACATCCCTTTTAACCCAGAACTGTGCTTATTGGGAGATAAATCTCAGTTGCCTAATGTAAATAAGTGTAGTTTTTCAATCATCTCAGTGGGGTTAATAACAGCCAGTCGAGTCATTTTAAGACACTGGAAAGCAGCAGAATCTCCAGAGGTTAAGGAATGGGTCTGTGCAATGGCTGAATCTGCATCATATGAATGTATGCTCAGTAAAATGAGTGAAGACAACAGAGAGGGAACTTCTCACTGGGATGGATTCTGGAACTTCTTAAAGACAGACAAAGGCCTTGGGTGAAATCAAGCATGTTATGTGACTGCTGTTGTTCCAACTTTACGTGTCTGCAGGAGTTATATGATTGGGACTTGTATTCAAAACCAACTGCTATAACTGTATGTTTAATCCCTCCATGTTTAGTATCTATTGAGACTGTTATGTACCAGCCCCTCAAAGAAAGTTCAATAAAAACTTGAATTAAAAAAAAAAAAAGTAAGGTGCTGTGATCAACAGGGTCAGAAGCTGCAGAAAGATCTAACAATACTAACACTGATTTCCCTGTTGTCTGCAGCCATCATGATGTCACTGGAAACTTTAAGCAAAGTTGTTTCTGTTGAACGATTTTTACCAAAACCAGACTGGAATTAATCAGAATTCTCCTGATAATTATCTAATAATCCATGATAGAAATAATGGATAATCTGACTTGTAGTAACAACAGTCAGTGTGTGTGTGTGTGTGTGTGTGTGTGTGTGTGTGTGTGTGTGTGCGTGTGTGTGTGTGTGCGTGTGTGTGTGTGTGTAAGTATGTGTGGAAACAAGTTTAACATTTGAGTCCTCAACCTGTTTAAAAAAGTGCCTCAGGTTTCTTACAAAGGAAAATGTTTTCTCTCATTTATCAACAACTTCAAATAAATACATGAGTAATTCTGAGTACTCGCTTATCTACTTAGAAAATAAATATGAGAATATCTCAAATTAATGAGTATGGAAAAAATTACATTCTAGTCCCCACTTATCAGCAGATTCAAAAATGAATCATCTCAATTTATGGGACCACAAAAGTAAACGGAGTACTGACTCTCCTAACAAAGATCAAAAAAGTGCATCTCAAACCTGTAACATGCCAAATATTTAGTTCTTGGAATCGATTCTGAATCTTTATAAATAAGAACCCCGATTCAGACTTGAATAGATTTTTTTCAGCACCTCTATTGGTCAGTGAATTAAACCTCCGTTGATTGGTCCTCGTCCGAGCGACAGCGATGAAAAGTTGAAAATATTTCAAATTTCTGGGATCACGTCACTGGGTTTCCCATAATGGGCTCGACACACGGGAGACGACATCGCCTCTCCATTCATTTTCAATGAGACATGCGCGGCAAAGCGATAATCGCGGGTCTCCCTCCTACTGAGCAAACCGTGAAAAATGTGCGTGTGAAATTTTGCGCTCGTGCACGTGTCGTGCACAGGCGACCCAGCAACGCAATCCCAGAAAGTTGAAATATTTTCAACTTTTCATCACTGTCGCTCGAACGAGGACCAGTCAACGGAGGTTTCATTCACTGGCCAATGAGCGGACAGGATGCTCCGTACATCTCCGAGCTAACATGGAGGAGAAGTTGATACTTGCTGTGACGGATTTCCCAGAGCTGTACAATATTTCTACCAAACAGCCCATTCTCCAGGTTTTTTTTTAATTTAGTAAAATCAGAAGTAAGATTTCACATAACTCTAACAGCACCTTGTGAAACATCATATCTACCGCTTTTTTTTTAAACTCTGAACCGCTTAAATAACTTTAATTCCCTCCAACCTGACACAGCCAATCAAAACAATGGAAGATTCGATTTCGCCATGGAACAGAACGCGTCGACGGCTTTGCCGCTGGCCGCTGCCACTGGTCGCCACCCGTGTGTCAGGTAATAAAAGCGACAGCGACGAATTTCGGTGATCACTGTCGTTTGTTGCCTCCCGTGTATCGAGCCCATTATTGAGTGAAGGTCTGTGGAAATGCCTGTAGGAGTCATTAGGAAACATTGTCAGGATTGTAGGTAATGTTGGGCTCAGGGACCACACTAATACACTCTATTAAACTTTTAAAAATCACTACTAATCTTATATAGAGCAAGGAAGAGAATTATTCAGAGGCTCTTTAGTAACAGAGTCAGTGGGTATGATCTGAGGAGATCACTTAATTTCAAGGTTCAGTGTTCTCACACCATCCTCAAGAACCGGTGTGTGTGGAAGAGGTGAGAAACTGTGGAATGGTTTGGATGACCACTTAAAGGGTGTGGCTAGTGTACAGTACACCACTTAGCAAAGATCATTGTTGTCATGTTAATGTACAGAAAATGTGATAAGTACACTTCATGGTTTCATTGTGTTTGTTTCAATACAAAGGGCAAATAAACTTTGGTATAGTGAGGTAAATATCTAAATAATCATTAAAACAAGTAATGAATAAATGAAGGTATATTAAGTGCTACCAATACGCCTACAAATTTATAAACTGTAGTAATATTGGATACGGGTTGAGGGGTGGGTGAACATAAGCATCTCTGCTTCAGCCTATTCCCTTTGAGCTCTGTTTTAAACTTTGTAAGATTATGAGAATGTAACTGCTCAAATAAAAAAACACCGACTAGAGGACCCAATTATCCATCAGCAGCTGCATGAACATGTTCTCATGCAGGTTTTATGGAACATGCAGGACCATTTATTGATGATAAACTTGCTGTAAAACATGACGCTCATCTCTGATAACCTTCAGCACCAAAATGTCTGCCAGAAGTGGGAAGAAGAAGGTCACCAAGTTGTCCCGATCATCAAGGGCGGGTGTCATCTTCCCCGTGGGGAGGATGATGAGGTACCTGCGCACCGGGACGCACAAATACCGCATTGGCATGGGCGCACCTGTCTACATGGCAGCTGTCATCGAGTACCTGGCAGGTAGGAGAGCGGCACACAGAGACAGTTCTATGGATGTCAGCTTTGGCAGCCGGGAACTCAGTAACGGGTGTGTGTTCACATGCAAAAATACTAAAATGAACCAAGTTAGAAATTATGGCAGCTAATAGTAGCTTTTAGTTTCACTCGTGTTATATTTTTATAGTTTTATTCTTGAAATAAGTTGTTGATTTGCGTGGAGCTGGTAGTGAGAGTGGAAGACGTGTGTGTGTGTGTGTGTGTGTGTGTGTGTGTGTGTGTGTGTGTGTGTGTGTGTGTGTGTGTGTGTGTGTGTGTGTGTGTGTGTGTGTGTGTGTTATTGAGTGTGTGTGTGTATTTGTTATTGAGTGTATGTGTGTGTGTTTGTTCATGTGTGTGTGTGTGTGTGTGTGTGTGTGTGTGTGTGTGTGTGTATTTGTTAATAAGTGGGTGTAGTGGGTGTGTGTGTATGTGTTTTTTTTCGTGTGTGTGTGTATATGTTCATGTGTGTGTGTGTATTTGTTAATGAGTGTGTGTGTGTGTGCATGTGTATTTGTTAATGAGTCGGTGTGTATGTATGTTCATAAGTTTGTGTGTGTGTGTTCATGTGTGTGTGTGTATGTATGTGTGTGTTTCCGTGTGTGTATGTATGTGTGTGTTTCCGTGTGTATCTGTGTGTTTTCGTGTGTGTGTGTGTGTGTGTGTGTGTGTGTGTGTGTGTGTGTCTATACATCATACTGAGGACCAGTGATGTTATGTGCTCATTTCTGAATGGAAAACCGCACATGAACACCTCAGCGCAGCACTTCCCCAACAGAAATGTGTAACTATTTCAGGCAGAGTAACTCGGGTAAGTGAAGGTTTATAAGATAACTTTAAGAACATTTGGGATCGGTTTGAGTCTTCAGCTGCGTTTAGAATAAGTGCCACATGAATAAAGAATGAAGAACTCAGAATAAATCAACATCCATGCCTGTCCTCGTCATACTGCTGTATGAACCCTCCAGACTGAATGTTGATGATAATTAAGTTAAACGATCAGCAGACATTAACGTCCAGGTGAGGCTCAGTTGCATTCATGACAACGTTCACCTTGTAAATCTGAGTCACAACAACGTGTTGGCATAAGGAATCAGTTTCAGTTGGCAGGACATTCGGTGCTATAAAATATCTGCAAAACGCTGCATTACTCGGCTTACCATACCCCCCCCCCCCCCCCCCCACACACACACACACACACACACACACACACACACACACGCGCGTGCGTATACCAGATCCCTTGACACTGATCTGCTGTTGACTGTAAAAGTGATATTG